TATAGTATACTTAGTAAGTAGATCATAAATTGCCCAGTTTCTAAGAACGTGGTCTTATTTCATTCATCTTTATTCATGTTCACATCTCATAAAACTTTCAGGCCGATTATAATTGGCTTAAATTCACAATAGGGCCACAATGTACTGTACAGTTTTAAGGTATAATTAATTATGGATACTATTACTCTTTTAATATGGACGAAGAAATAGAGCAGTTTTATTAAATGCAAATTTTAATTCAAGGGTTACAACAGCCCATATATCAAATTGGCGGAACGCGGCACAATTAATATACAATGCCCTAAATGTCTTATATGAAAGTTAGGTACACACAGGGCGTAAAAGAAATGATTACAAGAGAAATTTCAAATTTATTACTTGAGAGTTAAGAACGGATGAATTTACATACAAATAATTCAGTAATACATTAACAAGTTAAATGAATAAAAGTTGTTTCGTTTGGAGTTATTTATTATTGTGCAGGTTATTGAACTTAAAATGGTTTAGAAAATATCGTAAAATTGCATTTATCATCTCTTTTAATGATTTTTATAATGATTGTAAAGCAATCTTCTTCAACGCGACGCGAATATGCGATGGTTAGATTAGCCACCATTTCTTTCTTTTTTTTTTGTTATAATTTCACGTCACTATACGTTTAACTATGTAGCATTTTTTAAGGGGTGAAAACATCGAATGTCTGCTCCCGCCTAGGTGAGGCGGGAGGGAGTGTCAGCCTCTTACTCTCTGACTAAAAACCACCCCGTTCCTTCTCCTGCACGTCGAGCCGGAGCCCCGGTAACCCGTTAGATTCTCCGCGACTGAACTATGTAGTATAGCTGCGTGTTATCAACAAATATTATTTACTTGTGGAAGGTACAATTACATTTTTTCTTCAAAATGTCCCCAAGTAGGTTTGTAATTATCTGAGCAATTTCCTACCACGGTAGGATTTCCCGCTCTCACACAGCATTTTCTTCAGTGTCGTGGGTACATTCACAAATTACGAAACCGACTTCGAACATAGTATTATTATCACGGAATATAGAATACAATGTAAGTAGCAAGTAGGCGTGGCACGCGTGCCACAACTGAGCCGTGTACTGCGTACTCGAGGCAAATTCGAGTTCAGTCTCGTTCGAATATGGCGTCGAGTTTCTAGTCTCGTGACAAATACATATTTCCTCAACTATGCCGTTTTGTTCCGTTTTGGCGTGTAAAATTGATAGCAGCCGAAAAATCGTAAAAATGGAGGTGTTTCGTATCATCGGTAAGTACAATTTTCATTGTTTTCTTGTAGAAATCTTATTTTATTTCAATTTACAAAAACGGTTATTAAAATAATATTATTTACTAAAACGGTTAGTCAAAATCAACCTTACGCCTTCAAGATAAAGTTTATTTTGGATTTATTCCATTCAATAGACCATTCTCGCCAGTTCTACGCTACTCAAATAGTGATGTAGTCAAATCACATATTGAATTTATCGATTGATATCGATGTAAGTGTAATGTAACATTTATTTAGATTATTTTTTTATTATTATTTTAGTGGTGACCCCGACGTGATTGGAAGCAACCATCACTTCACGGAGCAGATCAGCACCGTCATCCTTATCGCCATCCCTCTCATTTATCACATTATCCATATAAAGTTTGTAAAAATGTATGTATATAAAAAATTTATGTGCAATAGTTGTTACATATATTGCCTATGTGAAATAAAAAAAAATGTTTTTTTGAAAAAAGAAACTAATAAAAAATACGAACAAAATGATTTTTAATTTACATGCAAATAAATACTTACCCTTTTTTGTTACGTTTAAAAAGTTATCAACGACATATTAATTTTATTATTTTAATACTGACACACTATCGCAGTCAATATTTTTTGTCACATTATTTTCAAAACACATTTTCATATTATCGATATTATTTTTATCGAATTAGGCTACATCACTATCTGAGTAGAGACCCGCATTCGAGCCAGTGATAAGCCATTCAAATATCACCTTTATTCTTATGACGTTAAAGTTCAAACCAAGTACCACTTTTCGTCGCTAGATGGCATTGTTAAACGCCATCTAGCGACGAATGGCGGTACTTGGTAGTCCAAAATATACTTTTTTATTTTGATTTATAGTGCATTGATTTTAAAGTTGCATATCGTATGATATTTTTTTTGCATTTCGTTTACGCCCATTTTTTTTCTAACCAATCGTAACTTCCGATTTATAGTATGAGTAAATTATAAATGTATTAGTTTGGCGACACCGGTTCTGGCAGAAATATTGTTTCAAGCTACTTCCATTGTATTCTATATTCCGTGATTATTATTTTAGATAAAAATAAAAAGTCTTCCACCTATATGTATCATTGTATGATTATAATGTATCCAAGGGCAATGACTTACGGAAAAAATATTAACTGCAATAAAAATGCGCCGGACAGCCGGACATGTTGATTAATGAACATTACACGAACTAATTAAGAAATTAATAATAGTGGCAGTGCTAACTACGCGTTTGTACTTGAACTGGTAGGAATCGAAAGTTATTCAATCATCCATGAATTAAGTCATCCATCATACACACTTCATACTTCATTCGATTTGCATAATTAAAACTCTTTGCTTTGTAGCGTTTGAACTAATCCAGTAATTTCTATCTGTTGGTCTATTATGTATTTACGAAAATTAGGAGCGTAATAACTTAGGCGTTTAAATAAAACGTCTGTTGAATCCAATACTAAGAGTTTTATATTTTATATTGTTTAAGAAATTTAAAAAACTATAGCTAGCTATAGATGTAACACTTACAATTTCGGGGCAGGGCGACAGAGTATTGGACGTTCAAAATGCACAAGAACTATAATATATATTTTTATCGGTGTATTGTCTGTGTTGTGTACATGAATGAATAAATAAATAAACTATTAATGCTTTCAAACTCCTATTTTTGTTCTGCAAGTACGCTTATTTGTTTAATATTAAAATATTTTTAGGTAAGTACCTATAGGTATTATTATCGACTAAGCCACATAAATTTTAACTGAGAAAATGAATCAAATGTTAGTTTTATTCTACAGTCAAGAATTAACTGGTGATTCAAAAATCGTCCCTAAACCACATGACTTAACGGCCGCGGAGGACTTAACGGGTTGCCGGGGCTGCGGCTCGAAGTGCAGGAGTAGGAACGGAGTGGTTTTTAGTCAGTAAGAGTCTGACACTCCCTCTCGCCTCACCCAGGCGGGAGCAGTCTTTGATTCCCCCCCCCCCCTAAAAAACACATTAAAGTAGAAACTTAGAATACCTAGATAGGCGAAACTACGAATACAGTTACGATGTGTGTGGGTAATTTTCTACTTATTCTAGGTACTCAGTTAGGTCATTCATGATTCAAGGTAAAATCATGGTAAAATGATGAGTAACGGTGATTTGTGATTCGATATAATATTTATTTGATAAATCAATAATACATGCCTAGGTATTTACGTCATATTCCGCTAAGCGTGTAAGTACATAATATGTAGCTTTTTATTGATAACGAACTTTAATTTGATGGCTGTAAAGTAAAAATTCGTCAAAATCCCTGAAAACCGTTTTCTACTCACCCTGTTTACTATTTAAATTAAATATTTAATTTTTAGACAGCAGTATCGTGGGCTGTTAGAAAGTTCATAAACCCGCCTGATGACTGTACCCTTTGAGAATGAGGTATTGAGTTTCAAACATTCCAATTTATGTAACTCCACCACGAAGGACATCGCCAAATATATTCAATTCCATTGAAATAAACAGTTTATTCACAATTTCATTTACGTAGATTGCAAAGTAAATCTTGCGTAAAGCAGAAATAGTTTGGCGGCGCTAAGAAAAAGGGTTTATAGGTATGTTATGTCTCGACCAGCAGCTCGTTAACGTGTAAACAGTCCCTCATAAACATTGAGTCGAAAATAATTGTGAATCGATTTAATTCAGATAAGTGGGGCCACTCGATCGTACTGCGTTTAAGAGTAATGCCAATCAATCGATTCCATTTGTTTATGCTCGGACTCCGGGTACATCACTAGTTAATTGATTCAACAAACAAATTGATTTTAAAAGTTTTAAGAAAATTTTGGGTCGCAATCATATTCTCTTGTACTGTTTGTTGCTAAGCTGTTTTACTACTGTAAGAAAATCTTCCAGACATACATAATGCCCTATCTTACGTAAGTTTAGTCAGGATCGGGAACCATTTCTATTTCTTCATAGCTATTCATGTGTTTTCTGTAGCCCGTTCTACTTCGAAACGATGAAAAGGCAAACCGTACAGAAAATCGATTGTTTAGTTCTCAGCTTCATACCTAATTGCTGAAACTTAGTCATTCAGGATTGCCTACGTGACTGAGAGAGCCGTATCCCAACAAATCCGCAATCCATAGATAACTTCACTGCTCACAGTACCTACTTACTAATATTTTGGTATGATTTTCATACATTTCACAAAATAATTTTTCCTAAAAGAATTTTTCCTAAAAGAAAGAATATGCAAATTGTACCTACATGATTTTACATTTTGTATACAATTAATGGCTACAGTGAGTTATTTAACAATCTAAACCACGGTACAATAATGTCTATGTAGCGTGGTGTCAGTGTACACTCAGTTGCACGAAAACTAATGCAGCTATAAAATATTTGGGCAATTAGTAACGAAATATTTTTGTTCAGTGTTGTCGGAATCGGATTTTTAAGAGGAAAAACGATTTTCCTTTCGAACGTAGGTATTAGGTAATAGAAATATTTTGATTTGGGGAATTTATCATTCGTTTATTTAACCCATGCGGTGTAAAACGAATAAAAAAAATTGAATTAGTCAACACTACTTAAAATATCTGGAATTTCTATTGTATCTGCACATTAACAGATCCACTAGGTAATACTTAATTACTTGATCCTTCTTCTTTACAACAGCATTGATTTAACCACAGTCTTAACACCTCTGTTCACATTCCAGGCAACCTAGTAACGACAGTGGCGCTGCTGATGCACCCAAAGTTACGCGGCCACGTGACCACGATGTTCGTCCTCTCACTCTGCGTGTCGGACCTCCTCTTCTGTTCCATCAACCTGCCGCTTACCGCCAACCGGTACATCAAACAGAACTGGAGCCTGGGACCCAGTCTCTGTCAGATGTTCGCCTTCGTCTTCTACGGGAACGAGGCAGTCTCTCTCCTCTCCATGGTTGCTATTACTATAAATAGGTGAGTCTTTCTTATTAATTCACTTGTTTTTTGTTTACTTTGCTATGAATTCTTCATAGAACTCGCCAAATTACTATGTTTTTGAACTTTAGTGTGTTGGGATTGCCCCGTAGATGTTACAATGTAAATAGTAAACTACGAAAGGTGAAACTTATGTAGATGTAGATGTCATCTTTAACGTTTAAATTAGTGACGTGGGCAAGCTTTCTGTTTCCGTAGAATAAAGAAAGACAGTGTATCATGATATCTAATGTAATAAAAACCGTGAACAAATGACAAGCACTTACCTAGTGGTTCTCTGTACGTTTATGAACAGAAGAAAAGATTTATGTAGCGCATTCAACAACGAACCTACTGATCCGTAGAAATTTTATTACGTGTGAAAACTAGTGAGAGAAATTTAACCAATAGAAAAACACTAGCTTCTAGCGTTTTATTGTTTCACTAGAGTATGTAAGTACTTCAAGTACGGCCACTGATATTTCCCGAAAAGTTTTTCTACGTGGGCATCGTAAAAAATACATTTAGTGGTGGCGTGAAACAGATTATAAATGTCGACGGGTTATTTATCACGCCATCCCACCACTCAGCCGTGTACAGTTGTAAAACAAACCTCTACTGACGCCAAGGAAAAAATACTCCTCATTCACGCCGCTATTTATAGGAACCGGCTACAAGTGATAGCTCGCTCGATATTGACCTACTGCTGAATTCGCGTAAACTAATAAAATTCTCAAATTCTCTTTTTGTTTATTGTTTAACTATCCTTGACGGTCTTTGTAAACCACGAAAGTGGTTTTAAGATGTTTTTTCTCATAATCTATCATTTTCATTCTAGTATTAAATTCAATGCATTTTGCTATCGCTCTGAGAAAATGGGATGACGTAGTTAGTCTAGCAACCTCGCGATATAGAATAGTTAAAGCAAATAGACAGCTAGCGGTGAACTCAAAACGTCACTTTCATTTTGATAAAGAGTATAAATAAGACAATTATTTCTTGGAACTATAAAACAATACATCAATTCGACACAGCTTAGGCTTACAATATCCCATTGTAGTAATTTTGAAAGCAATATATTCGGTTCGTCGACCCGCCCTTAGATTAAACCATTACCATAATACTGGTGCATTAATATTAATGCGTGGTAACCAATTTAAAGTGTCCTCAAGTGTACGTGCGCGATGGCGCAGGCGCAGGCGCAGTGTTCACCTTCGCTGCGTCCGACATTAAAATACTTTTATTAGCCCTACATTGTAATGATAAGTAAGCTTTCGTAGACAAATTACAAGCTATGAATACGTGAATGTTAATAAATACACGTTACAACAAGGGTAATTTAGATATAACTTGAAACATTACGTCAAACACTCAGCACTAAGGTAACTGATGTAATCCATATTCCGGATGACATTTGAATTGAAAATAACATTGTCTGTTTTCTTTATCTGTGCAAAATCTAGAAAAGATACAGTAAATGTGAAGTGTTGATTCCTATCTGAAGAGATTTGATACACTGATGTCTGGAGTCTAGATTTGTATCACCTGAATATAATTAATTAGGTTTATATTTTGTCAGGAAATGTGAATGGGTCACGGATTATGTACCTACCTACTGCTTATAATACAGATAAATAAAATTGTAGTGTCTGTTTGTAGTATTAAAACTAATGCAATTATGAATACCTACATACGATACACATAGGTATCAGAATAATATTTTTAATCTCTAGAATGGCTAGACCGATTTTGTTGGGACTTTTATTGGCAGGTAGCTAATGTACTAAGGAGTAAAAGGGGTTTCTTTTATTTTAGAAAATTATGTCCTAAAATTCATATTCTACCCGACGAAGTCGCGGGCTAGTCTTTTAGCTAAGATTTTAGCTGAAAATTCAAGATATTTCAGTACATTTAAACTGTCAAACACCGCGAGGTCACCGGTGACCGCAACCTTCTTCTTTAATTGTGTCTATAATGACGGTACTCAACGAGTTAAGATATATTTTTAAGAGTAACAGAGCTGCAAAAAGTTTTTGTTTTGTTTTACTTTATTAAATTATAACAGCCTATAAACAGCCCACTGCTGAGCAAAGCCTCTTCTCACACGATGCGCATTCTTTCACGATGCACGTATTTTCTTCTTCATATACTATCGTTTAAAATCTGGTATATGAACCCTCCAAACAAACAAAAACGTCAATTTATTTGGGGACTATTTAACAGTAAATTACAGTGAGCGATGCATAATCCCTGCTACGCCAATAGGGCACGAGCAGGGGTGTTAACATCCTATTAACATTAATACGAGGACACACAGTTTAATAACACTGGGTGTTAATGTGTTTCACAATAGAAAAAGTAATACAAGCTTTATGGCCCTTCTATTGTTAAGCTTAGTCTATGGAACATTGGAACCACATTAACACACATATTTTGAAAATGGAATTGTAATGATTTTTTTTTTAATTTTTTCTTCTTACGTTTATTTTTTCGTGATATTTAGTAGGTAAGGACCAGCTGTTGCCCGTTGCTCGTTTACTTATTATAAGTTAGTAAAATTCCACAAAACTTCAAAGTTTCTGGTTTAGCTTCAGGTGGTTTTTCTTCCTTAGAATGAATAATCTGATAGTGTACCAGAATTTAAAGACCAAATAATTCTTAGCTTTGTAAACCAAATATTTGTGCGAAATTCTTGGGGAAGGTCGCATAGAAACATTAAAGAACACTTGAGAGTGCTAGTAAAATATAAATTGTGCCTAGCCTTCGATTCAAATGAAAAACAAACAAGAATTACTAGACCGATTCGTCCAATACTATTATTCCAATGCAATTGTAATGTTTGCTCTGTCGTTACTTGCGAGTGGGTCTCGATTATACATATCGAGGGGTAACGGACTATTTGGTTTAAGCGACATTTTGGGCGATATTGAGTTATATATATATTCGGAATCAGCGAATTTTTCTCCGTCGAATGATGCCGGTTTCATTAAAATCGGAGCACTTTTTTGGCGTTTCAAACAATTCTATTTTCATGTTGTTTCCAAAGTGGCAGTGTATTAAACGACATGGATTTCGCATTTTTTATTAAATTATGTACTTGAACCATACCATCATATTAATAACCGAGACATAAACCAGTCACCCTATCTCTAATGATTAAGTCAACATGAGTTAAAGCGTTTTTCTTGTTTCTAATTTTTATTAACAAGTAACTTGAATCATTTTGACTTCCCACTAATCACACGGTGTGATGTCGCTTAAAACATTTGTCCGTCATCCAAATGCGTCATGGTACGTCTCTTAAACATTTCTAGCTGCCTCTATTTTACACGCAGGGTGCTACTTAAACCAAATAGTTGTTTTCGTTCAGATATTTTGTTTAGTCATAAACCATTTAACCCTCATTTTTTTTTAAATGCATGTCGTTTTATACAGACGATAACATTGATAATGAATATTGAAACATTTTTCCAGTATTCATAGAAATACGAGTCGGTCTTTCAATCACTAAGTTTTAATATGGTACATTTCAATCATGTCATATGATACCATATTTAATTCATCGCCCTGGTGTTAAAAATCGTTATCATCCAACTGGACTATCGTGCGCTGGCGCTTCAGTCACTCCAGAGTGCGCCGAAGACAGACCGGACGCGTGCACACCGCCAGTGTTTACGTAAAACGCTCATCGAAATTGAATCCTAAGTACTTTAATTTCAAGATGAACCTTGCGGTCGTTCGAAGACTTTGGCAACAATGACTTTGATGACATACAATCTACGGCTGATTTAGCAACAGCTTTCGACGTTAGCGTCAAAACAATATTGGTACATTTGCGTCAAATTGGCAAGGTAAAATAGCTTGATAAGTGGGTGTCCCACAAACTAAATGATCCACAGAGCTAAGTATGCATCGAGCAGTGCGAGGGGGACTGGGATGCCGTCTCCTCCTTTTGCGAAGCAGTTATGCTAGCTAAGGAGGAGGCGGGACGCGTGAGGCAGCGAAGCGCTGGCTCCTCGCAACCCAGCCATCGCGAAGGACACACCTGGCGTCGGGGATCGCGGGACGATATCCAGTTACCGTAAGCGCGGGCCTGCGGACGGTGAGCATGGGTGGCTCCCCGTCCGACCAGAAACAGACCCGAGCGTACGGCGCGTCGCGTTCCGCGCGCACCTCAAAGAGCCATCAGACCACCACAGATGGGGCCCAACAGGGTCGATGCCGATTCGGAGTCGCGGAGAACCTAACGGGTAACCGGGGCTCCGGCTCGACGTGCAGGAGAAAAAACGGGGTGATTTTTAGTCAGTAAGAGTCTGACACTCTTTCCCGCCTCACCCAGGCGGGAGCAGTCATTCGATGATTTTCCACCCTTAAAAAAAATTCATCGAGTAGTGCCTTGCACTGCACTGCTCAATATACACACAAATGAAAGAATTTTGATTTGCATTGTCACCTCCGATGAAAAATGAAATCTGTGTGATAACCACACGCGTTTAGCATGTTGGTTGAATCCTAGTTCAGCACCTAAACAATGCCCTAAACGAAAACTTACCCCTAGAAAAGTGATGGTCACTGATGGTCTAGCGCTCGCGCTATTCTGATTCATCACAAATTCTTACCAAACGGAGTGAGCATTACTACGGATGTGTAGTGTGAAGAACTGAACACAATGATAGAGAAGCTGACACATCTCCAACCAGCACTGGTCAATCGCTAATCTCCATTGCTCCTGCATTACAACGCGCGACCTAAAGCTGCACAAGAGACGGCCTCCACGTTACAAGAACTGGGGTTGTGAAGCTCTCCGACATCCACCCTACTCACCAGTCACCAGATTACTTCTTTTTCCAGAATTTGGATAACTTATTGGCGGGAAAAAATTTAATAACCGAGAGGCAGTACAAAATGCATTTGAAGAATTTGTTGCTACCCGTCCAGCTGATTGAAGAAGGGCATCAATAAACTGCCACTGCGTTGGCAACGATGCATTGATTGCATGG